GGAAGTGGCCAACAGACACTTGGTGATTTTAGGCAGGCTTTTCTCCATCTTAAGGCCATGATCTGTCTCTCAGAGTGAGTGGGGCTCTGGAGCTCCGGGGTTCTGTTTCCTGAACAGCATGGGCTGGTTGTGCCTGGTGCTTTGGCTCAGAGACACATCTCACCTGGCAGGTGCAGACAACAGGGAGGAGGAATTTGCAGTAAGTATTGCATGAGGAATGCCGTAAGCATTTTTTAAGTGTTTGGTCCAGGTTCTGGGGATGAAGCTAAGAAATTTTAGATCATCAACTTGGCCCTGTCCTGCTGCCTGTGGAGGCTTTAGTTTGGTGCTTTACAGGGGCTCCAGCACATTGTCATGGATGTGGTCAAACATGAGACAAGCTTTCTTAAAGCAAGTTAAAGACAGATATCTGTTAAACCACCCCACCCCTTTTTATTATTGATCTGCATTTTGAGTGCAGTCCAGTCTCTAGCCTTTCCTTTCCTGATAAGGTTGTTGACAAAGGTGTCATGGGGCAGCCCTAATTTAACTTTCTTGTACTGCACGTTCTTGCATTTCTTCCCCCTCCCTGAGGCCGAGTGAGGCACACAGGCTCTATTTCTGTTAGAGTATGAGCAGCTCCTAGAGGTGACCAAAGAGAGGTCAAAACCACAGGCAGATTCTTTGATCTATTGGCAGCTTTGTACCCCTTGGATCAAGAAACATTATTGACCTGTTTGTCAATGGCTGTGTGTGGTCTGAGTAGCCCTTTTGACAATTTGAAAGGGAGTTGGGTGAGAGTAATGGGTGATGATGGCTTTTTTTTTTTTTTTTTTTTTTTACTCCTATTCTATTGCTATCCAAAGTTTGCATTTTGGGGGAGAGCCCATGTGGGCTGTGAAGCTATGCATACACAGATAACTCATGGATCTGAATTTGTGCTTAAGGAGATCTGCACGTCATGTCTCTGACCTGGACTTTGTCACAGCCACACCTGCCCATGAGACATTGGATTTGGATTGCAATTTCTCAGAAACCTCAGCTGGTTCAGTATCAGGCCATGACTCAGCAGTGCTCCTTGTGAGGAATGTGGTCTGGGCAGGCTTTTCTGCTTTTAAATTGATTTCAGGTGCACATCACACTGTCAGCTGCACAAAATTTTCTCTGATTTTTTTTTTTTTTTCATTTCTGGATGCTGAGCATCACTAGAACATGGCCAATAGGATAAGTGGAAATCTCTTATTCACTGACGTGTACTTTGAATTACCATTCCCAAAACAGAGGCAGGAGAGGAGGATGATCATCAGCTGCTTTGGGGAAAAGTTAGTGTCTTGTCTTGAGCTGTCACTGAAGATGGGTTCATGCTGGACGTTGTATGGAAGCAACTGAGATGCAGGCATATGTTCCCTTCTGCTGACTTGGCTGTGGTGGCACCAACCACAGCCAGCAAAGAAGAGCCAGCAACTGGGAACAGTAACATCTCAAACTGCAGCAGAGATTGGCCAGACCGCTCCTGTCAGCACTTGGATTCCCTCACTGTTCATTGAGGAATTAAAAGTTAACTGAGGGCGGTGGTAAAAAATAGGCTTGCCTGCCTAGAAAATGCTAAAACCAATACTGAAAAGCAGAGGTGGATCTGAAGGTAGTCATCTCTCTTGGAGTTTATATGGGGATTAAAACAAGCGTCATCCTTGTAGCACATAGGCAATTTTTTAATCACTGCTGGTATTTCACCTCAGGGTACTCTGTGGGAGGAAGAATTAATTTCCCATCTTTTTCTAGGTAATGGAGGTTTGTGATTTTCTGCCAATCATAAAGGAGGGTCTGTGGCCAAACTAGATGCCAGAAGTGATTGAATAATCTGGGATTGGTAAGGGTGTACCGCCTCACCTCCAGAAACCAAACTGGGGAAACATGCATGCAGAGAAATGCCACAAGATGTTACATGGCCATTTCACTTCCACATCAACAGGAAAAGACACTACAAGGCTGTGGAAAAGCATAAGAAAAACTGCTGTGCAAAGCAGTGGCTGCAAAATTAAAATACAGGATGTTTTATTATATGCAATCCTCCCTCTCACCCCACCCCACCCCCCCACCCCCCCCAATCTCTTCTTGTTAAAGACAGAAATCCTTCTTAGTGGAAAAAAAACCTCCTCATCTTGAGTACAAGGCAATTTAGATTTTTTTTTTTCAGGGGGTTAAAGTGGCATGTTTGCACAACACCACCCTCACCCCAGCAAACCTGCCAGCAGTTGATAGATATAAATAGGTTCATTTAGGGAAAAAAGCATATTTATGTTCCTTTGAAATGTGCTTGGCTAAGGGCATATTTTTAAGAGAGGGAGTGGAAAAACAAATGAAAAATATTTTCTTTGAAAGGGAAAAAAAAGCAATAAACTGTCCTTCCTAAATAGAGATGCTTGGCTTGTGTGTACTTTATGCAGCTGCAGGTCAGACCTTGCAAACAACTACTAAATTAGGTCCAGCTACTTTGATGCTAAAAGCATGGAAGTGCCAATGATTAAATTGCATCAGATGTAGGAAATGACTGATGTGTCTGTCATTCTCATGATAGCAGAGTTCACTCCGCTGCCATTTGACTGACCCCTCCTTCTTTATGTAAGCAAAAGGAATTTTCTTCTAAGGAAAATCAGCTGCTTTTACACCTTTGTTTTGTTTTCTGAACTGCTAATCCCCTGAAGGTATAGAAGCTATTTGAAAGAGCAAATCAAAGCTCCAATAATTTAGTGTTATATTATTCGTTGATGTATGGTTTGATTTAGTGGCTACTTATTATATCAGGTTACCATATAATTATCTTAATTATTGACTCCAGAAGTCAGTAGGGGGATTATGAGAGAAACAGGAAAGCCCAGTGGAAAGAGCATGGTTCAGAGAATCAAACACATCTCAATGTGCTCTTGGCTCCACCACTCATTTTCTCTGAGGCTGGACTCTTCTCTCAGCCAGCATGTCCATGAAACCAGGAGGGATTGCAGGAACAGGACTCAGATGCTGACTCAGGCTTCAAAGAAATGCAAGAGAGCAGTATAAAAAGGCAAGGGGAAAGTTCTGAATGATAATTGTAAAACTGGCAGAAAAAAAAAAAGAATGCACACCACAGCAAGCATTTGGATTGAAGTGTGGAGCACCTCTGTGGGCATGGCAAAAGGGAGTTGTGCTGTGAAGACCAGAAATTTCAGAGTGCATTTCCAGCCTCTGCTACTGATTTCCCCCACAAAAAGGCAGCCCTCCGATCCCTTTCTGCAAAACAAGGGTGATAAAAATCATCCTCCCAGCTTTGGTTTTAGCTATTGGAATTATTGGAGCACTGCTTCTCTCACAGCCGTCAGCCATGGTTCTCACGTGGCTTTTAGGCTCCTAGTCCTTTGTCTGATAACCCTGATAACCACTGACCTAAGCCAAAGGTTTGAGTTAGCAGGCACCACCAAAAGATAAAAGCCACACTGAAATGCTGTAAGTGCAGTCCATATTTCCTGTATTGATAAAATTTGTCATATACTGACAAAATACTTCATCTATTGACAAGCTGAGTTGCATCTTTTCCCCTGGGAGAGGAGCGCACACACTGGTTCTACTCAGCCTGTGCAAATTACTTGCTCTGCTTCTGCTTTTCTTTCCTGAGCCAGAAAACGGGGATAATAGAATGTATCTATTTCCTTCCTAGAAAAGATCTGTTAATGTGAAATGGTGCACAGTGGCTTAGTGCTGAATAAGTGGGATACCCTAATCCAGCAAGGTATCCTTGTTCTATTGTATGCCTTTTCTGCGTACCATCTGGAGTTGTTCTCTGCTTAGTATTTTCAGTATGTACCATATGTTTTTGCATGAAAATTCAATAAAATATGCATTATACATGAAAAGTGCTGTAGTAAATAAAGGAAGGATGGAATCCAGTCCCCTTTGTGAACGGCAGGGGCCCCAAATCTTCATAAAAGGTTTAGTCTAGTCTGACGTCTGTGCTTTTCTCCAATTTACTCTGTGTCAGTCTTTAGGAGATGGTCTAATTTAAAACAAAACTGTACTTTCCTGATGAAGCTATTTGATATACTTTGGCTGCCCTCTGCTGAGAGCACTGAATAAAACAGGGAAGATGCCCTTTTTCCGAGGAAGGTAACTGTGGAAGAAATTCCCTGTTTGTCTGTCGTGTCAGTGCTGCTGTTTAGTGTCTCTCATCTGTTTGTTGCCAGTCAGAGGACAAAGTCTTCTGAGCTACAGCCCTGTTGGGCTTTTAGTGCCCACCACTCCTTGTCAAGGGCTGGATGGCTTTGTAGGATTGTGAAGACGTGGGCTCAGGCATTGACCATCATGAAAAATTAAGCAGCATTAAGCAAGGGATGGAGGAAACAGGCTTCTCCACTCAGGCACTATTGCAGTCCTGCCAGGTGGGATTTGAGCTATATTTCGGCACCTCACTTCTTGGCAGAGCAATTTACCACTGTAAAGTGCTGGTGCTGCTCCTCATCGGGGTTCCAGCCTCTTCCAGTGCCATCTCCACCCCTCCACAGGCATCAGAGCACCAGCACTCTGCTTTATTTCTATAGCTGGGAAAGTACAGAGGGGTTGTTCCAACATCAGCAAGAGTAACTGAAGGCCTTGCTGTTTCTTGTGAGCAAAGTGTGAGCCTCTTGCCCTTGGGAAGTAACAAGGGTCCTGTGCAGATTTTGGTAGACATGTAAAACAATAGCTCTGTTACAGCTATTGATGCTCTTTGTAATGACCTGCTTTTAATACTTCCTAAGCAAGTTGATTTATTATTATACCTTCAGCTGGGCTGTGCACCAAAGCATTTTGATGATGAAGGGAATGTTACACACACATTTAATTACTGCCCACATTTTTGTATAATTTTATCATTTACTGTTTTAGATGAGACATCAAGTTCTTCTACAGGAAAGATGCCCAGCAAAAAATAGACGATTTCAAAGCTAATCTGAGATGAGTTTTGCACTTACATGTGAGAAAACATAATCGTTCCTTTTGTCCTGCCCTTTCAGATGATCCCTGATCACCAAAATGTACAAGAACTCCCTTATCTGGACATGGTGATTGCAGAGACGTTGCGCATGTACCCACCTGCATTCAGGTATCTTTTTTTCCCCCTTCTGATTACATAGGATAGCTCCCTGGCTTTATAAAATGGAAATCTGCTGTAGGAAGACCAATGGTCTCTCAGTCTCTGTGCCAACATCAATACTGCTTTGTACATTTAAAAGATATAATGCAGCCTGTTGAAGGAAAGCTGGATAATTCTGGTATTTCTAAAGAACATTTTTTCAGTGAATTGGCCAAGCTTGCTTCCTCACCATTCTTCACATCCCCCAAGGTTAGAGGATGGAGCCATTTTGGAGCAGGTCTAGCCTTAGAAAGCCAGAGGCTGGTGCTTCCTTGTGCCTCAGGCTTTGGGGATATGCCCCAAAATCCATCCCCATCAGAGCCCTGTTGGTTATTACAGAAGGGTTACACAGTCTGAAAGCTGAATTTTACATGTGTGTTTAACTTTGGTTCATTTACACTTAGCACTGCCTTGTACTAATACAGATAAACTAATGATAACATCCATTAACTTTTGAAAGTTTTGTCCCAAATCACACATGACTTGGTCTATTTTATTAATGAACTGAAAACAAGGGAGAAAGAAATTAGAAAACTGTGTGATTGTTAAAGCTCCAAGTTATCACCAGCATAAACACAAATATTAAGAAATACAATTTTTCAAAGTGATCAGCCAGTTGCAATGTTTCTCATGAAGCTCAGGGAAAAATCCAGATGACTGGAAAGAAGCCAAAGCTGAGCTTGCTGTGAGAGCTTTTGAAAAATTTAACCCATGACTGCAAGCACCTTAAAACAAAACAAAAGCTTAAAATCATATTCTCTTCTATATATTCACCAAGATTGGAAGTAAAGATTTTTTTCATGGGTATCTGTGGGATTGTTCAGAGAGTAAATATCAGAGATCTACTCCTGGATGAGATGATGAGGCTTTACTGTGTTATACTTGTGGTACAAGTGGAAACTGTTCTGCTGGTTAAAGCAACAGGGGTCTTTGAGTTTGGGCTGTATCACTGGAAAAAAAATCCATGTTTGTCAGATGGGAGGCAGAACAAGAATGGGACAAAGTTCTTCTGAAGTTTTGCTTGGTGTTGTCAGCCCTGTTTATTGATCTGGCTTTTACTCTGATGGATGTGGAATGGATAGGACAGCCCAGGCCACTGAAAAATGTTAATTGCCTATGACAAGGATAATGCTGAGTTAAGTGGAAAATCAGTAGCAGCCAAGTTTGTTATAAAATGAGTTGGTTTCATTTTTTTAATGAACTTACCATCCAGAGAACTTTCTCGCCAAGAACTCATGTTTCCTTTACAACCAAATTCATGTAAAAATGAGAACGATAGCTTGTCAGTGGTTTTGTGGTTTTTCTTTTTTGTTGTTGTTGTTGTTTGCTTGGTTTGGTTTGGTTTGGTTTTTTTGGTTTGGTTTTTTTTGGGGTTTTTTGGGGGTTTTTTTTGTTTGGTTTGTTTTTTGGTGTTTTTTGTTTGTTTTTTTTTTTTTTTTTGCATGCCAGTGTTTTGTTCCATGTTTGGAGCCTCTGTTATTTGTTTGTCTATGAGAAAGGGAGATGGGTGACAACAAGGAAAGAATGTGTTTCTGTAATGATACCAGACTGACAGCCCTGAACCTGAAATCTTTGTTCAACTTTTTAAGCAGAGTGTGGGAAGCAGCAAAGGAAGCTCCTGTACACTGCCTCTCCCCTGTACTTGCAGGTGGTGGCAGGGAGTAGTTCCCAGACTGAGACAGCAGGGCACCCACCTGGGCCTGGGCTGATTTGGGATCTGTAGTGACCACTCAAGCACCAAAAGCTCTGGATCAGAACCTACCACCACACATGCACACCCACACACAATCTTTTGCAAGAGTCAAGCTGGGCTTTGGCAGGCAGCTTTTCTCAGTCTTGTCATGATGAGGTTCCTAAGGACACCTATCACCACAGGCTGGGAGAAAACAACAGAGTTTTGTTGTTAACATCATGCCTGCCTTTGATGAATATATGTGAAATGAGGTTTTCCAAGGCTTGTGAATTGGTTGTATTTCCAGAGTAGCAGCAGCAGCAGAACGCTCAGCCCTAATATTAAAACAATCCTTTGCTAAGATTCAGGTGCTGCACCAACGGGGGGGAGCTTCTCAAATAAACAAACTCAAAGCTTTATTTACTATCCTTTTTTTTTATGGAGGCAAACCAGCATACTTTTTCTACCTGTTATTAGAGATGACTGGCACATTTCATCAGCGATTTTCATTAAAAAATTAGTCTAAACCAAACATCAACAACAAAATTGCAGTTTAGCAGTTAATGCTTTGGAAAACAGTATACAACCAGAAATGCTTTCCTGTGAAAAGGGCAAAAGTCAAACATCTGGACTGGAGCTATGGACTTCTACGTGGAGATGACTATAACCTGAGAAGACACTGGCATCAGCAACAGCTGTTGTATTTATCTATGAGAAAGTGTTACCCCAGAAATTGTTTGGTCAGATGAAGACAGATACTTTTATAGATCTCTCCTGCTGTGTTTTTAACCTTTATTAATCATCTGGGATGCATGATTTTTTTTTGCAGATTCACTAGGGAAGCAGCTAAAGACTGCATAGTGCTGGGGCAGCATATTCCAGCTGGAGCTGTCATTGAAACTGCAGTTGGACACCTTCACCACGACCCTGAGTTCTGGCCACAACCTGAAAGGTTTATTCCTGAGAGGTGTGTAGAGTAATGCTTTTCACCTTTAGTTTGAGGTCCTTACTTGGGCCTGTGGGCACAGAACTCCAACCTGTCCAGTGCAAGCACCAGACTCTGCTGCTCTTTCACAGCCACAGTCACCCACTATTCATCCAAAGCAGCATTTCCACCAAGAGGAGCACAGTTTTATTTAAACCATAAAAACATGTTATTTCTACTAAATCAGAAAAGTGATGAAAGTGGTGTATCCCACAGAGGTGTGAGGTTTGGTCAAGGTTGAACTGGGGCAGAGGTTTTCTGGTAGTCACAGAAGTTCAAAATGCAGGACTAGAAGTTTCTACTCAAAAATAGAAGAAATTTCACCATGGAAATATTTAGGATACTTTTATATAAGATAGACCTGTTTCCAAATGAGATCCTGTGAATAATGTTGCTTCTGGCTGCAGAAATTCTGAAGTGGGACAGTATATTGACTAGCTTGGCTGTACCTGGGAAACTTATCCAGCTCCTTGCTGGTTTAGAGCACCCTTTTAATCTGAAATATAACAGTGTGGGTACTCTGTGAGTGGGGAATATACCCCATTTCCCATTGGCAATTTGCTCTCTGTCTGTAAGTTAGGATCCTTGGTTCCTGCTCGGCAAGACAGTTTCACATGAGCTTTTATATCTTCAGTGGGTAGGGGGAACCCTGTCAAGCTGTGGTTTTGTACCTGCCCTGTGTTACAGGTGCTGGGCTGAGCTTTCAGCTGACATGGTGTGGTGTGGAAGCACAGTTTAGTTTTGGGGGCAGCTATATTTTTAGACTGTTCAGTGGGCAGCTGCATTTTAAGCTACCACTACATTCAGAAGTTTACTAAGAAAAGAAGTGCCTGCTCTATAAACAACTGGGTGTGAGGCTGGCAGCCCAGAAACATCTTTGCCAGTAAGACAACACATGTGTGGTGTTGGTGGGTTTGCCTAATGCTCCTTCTGGAACAAATCTAGGCATATGCTCCATTAGAATCTTTTAGCCATGAAGAAGAGCAATGCTGGGGTTAGAGAAGCCCAGAGATTTTGCTGGAGAGGAATCTTAGCAGCAACTGGAAGTCTTTGCATTTTTAGCAATGCTTATCTAGAAATGTTTTCTTGTTATTCACCACTTAACCAGTAGTATGAAAGGGTAAAATGGTTAGTAGGGGCTGCAGTCCCCTTGACTCACACAGTGCTGTTTGGTATGAATCTGAGATTAATTTCCATTTGAACTTTCCCTGAGGAATGATCCAAAATTACTAACACTCTGCTCAGCTTGTATAGGTGGTAAGGTTAGCAAGAATTATAAAATAAGAGCATAAGAAAAATAAAATAAAATAATTCAGCTACAGCCTTCCCCCCCACAAATATTTCATTTTGAAATTGGCAGTAGGAGTAAAACAAGGGAGACTTTAAATTTGCCAGGATGATATATGGGAATGAGCAAGGCAAGAATTATCTGAACCTGTTTGCATGGGATATGCAACAGTGCTTAGTACATGAGCTAATGGTCCTTCAATCTCAAATTAGGGGTCTCTGCAGTACTTTTTGGAGTAGTGGCTCAATCTTATTTAGCTTTTCAAAGCATGGGGATGGAATTAGTGGAAATATACCATTTTTTCCCCAAAGCTCCAAATAGTCTGTATTACCTCTCATCTCTTTCTACCCTGCATGAGTTCTCTGGACCTTAGCAGTCTGAAGTGCATGGAAAATGCATCTAAAGAAATGAGAAATTTTCATTAAAGATAGATTGGAAGTAAAACTCATATCTCCATGTCCTCTCCTGAAGTCACCAGCTGACAATAAGTCAATTGCCTTTTTACTTAGGATGTCAGCACATATCTATCAATAGTCCCTGTGACCTGTCCATTAAGATCAATTGAAATAATCAGCTTTTGAGATTTAAATTAAAGACATGGAATCAAGCAAAAGCATTTCTTGAACTGCTTTCCATCTCTGCACCTTCTAGGTTTACAGAGGAGGCAAAGAAGGAACGACATACCTTTGCATACTTGCCCTTTGGGGCAGGACCCCGTGGCTGCCTTGGCATGAAAATGGGTTTGTTGGAGACAAAAATGACTCTGCTGAGGATTTTGCAGAAGTTTCGATTCAAAACCTGCCCAGAGACTGAGGTTTGTACATGCAGAGGCTTAAAGATCACACTTGTTATCTTGAGGGGGTTGACAGTGTGTCTTAGGCAGGACAACTGGTTTTCCTTTGTGACTTCTCTTCATTTGAGAAAACTGCTAGAGACACTTCCATAATAAGGAGAGATGAGGCATGGACTACATTTTTTAAGCAAAATGTGATTTCAGATATATAATTTTTCTAACAAAAGTACTGTTACGCAGCCCTGCCTTAGTGGAGAGCAGTATGGCCGGACCACAGGCAAAATGTCACAATTCATAGAAGGTGAGAATATGTGTACATATTTCACAGGACTTTAGCACTTTGGTATATGCCTATTGCTATGGACATTGCACCCAGCTCTAGAGTTTACAGAGTTAATTTCTTTCTGTTCAGATCTACAGCATTCCTGGGTAACCACTGCCTCAGCCTCTGGCTGTAAATTCTATTTAATATTATACCATCACAGCTGACTGTAAAACAAGTACTTTACAGCTTCCACAGTAATCCTGGTATGAACCGGTCCTCCAGCAAAAATGTCTGTCTGTATGTGGGGGTGTCATACACACATAAACAAACACATACAACTGCACATAAAATGCTCTTTTCTTTTTCAGATTCCTTTGCAGCTCAAATCAAAAGCCACACTTGGACCAAAAAATGGAGTCTACATCATGCTGGAATCTCGCTAAAAGGGAATGTACATCCTGAAGCTTTTTGGAATGAGACACTTTAGTGAGTCACTGGGTATAATTATTTTTCAGAACTCCAAGGACAGATAGGAGCCTAAGTCCCACTGATGGTCAGTAGGTGCTGCCCCACTGCCCTCCTGTGGGACAGCATCCAATCACTTTTTAAAATGGGCTGCCCAGTCTTTTTTGGATGTTTTCAAATTGCTGTGAATAGTATCTATAAAGAAGAATCCCATTTTCTTTTGCTTTTCTTCATGACACTTCTTTTCACTTATCTGTGAGAATGCTTTCCTCATGCTCATTTTCCACAATTTACAGTAGATTTTAATTTCAATTCATCATATGGCACATTCTTTCATGCACTTGTGAGTGCTTAGAGAAAGCCCCAAAGGCACTACATTACAGCAGAAGACCTGGGATGCAGTGCATTGGATTTTTCATGAACTCCACTAACAAATCAAAGCTGAGGCCCCTGTACAATGCTTAATCTCCACCTGTGTCTGTAAAGCCAGAAAAGTTGCACCTCCTCCATGCTTTGAAGTGATTTTAAATACACTTGGATTAACAATTTGCACTTGGCACATTCCATCGACATGACAGAAGAAGAATGAACCGGTAAAGTTCCAGCAGCTAAGACCAAAGAAATGAGGTGACAGCCATTTTTCTGGCTGCTGAACTGCTGTTGGAAAGGAAGAGACAAAGAAGATATTAATTTAAAGCAAGCAGGAGGACTGGAGGAAATGTAAAGGTAATCAGAAGGTGTTGGTACCACATCTGCTTCATGCGGAGGCCTTTCCTATCCAAGCGTTGCAATTGGCACCATCCCTGTCTGGCTCCTTGAATCAAGGAAATTAAGAGCATGCATGCACTAGAGCTGGTGGCAAAGGAGTGGGATCCAGGATCATCAGACCCAGCAGCTCTCTTGGCTCCTGTGACACTGGAGCAGGTCATGTCCTGAGTGCCTCACCCCCTCAGGAAGGAACTTGTCTGATTGAACTGCAGCAGCCCCATGGACCTGTTTGAGCTGTGTGACTGTGCTCTTGCATCTTCCCAGCCAAAACAGCTGTAGCTTCCACTCCTCATGTTCCCTCTGTCCTACTCCTCTGCAAAGCCTTCACCTGCCACACAGTTAGTGTTGCACAAGAAGCTGGAAGGGGGCACAGCTGGGCCAGCTGACTGCCACTGAGCACAGGGATATTCCATACCTCGTGGCACCATGCTCAGCACATAAAACTAGGGGAAGAAGAAGGGAGGGAGACGACATTCAAAATGATGGCATTTGCCTTCCCAAGTCACTGTTTTGCCTGCTGGAGCTCTGCTTCCTGGAGTGGCCTGTACATAGGAAATGGTGAATGAATTCCTTTTTAGTGTGTGGCTTTTGCTTTACCTATTAAACTGTCTTTATCTCAATCCATGACTTTTCTCATTCTTAAAATTCTCTCCCTCATCCCACTATGGGGGTGTGAATGAGCAGCTCTGAAGGGCTGAGCTGCTGGCTGGGGTTAAGCTACAACAGAACTGTGAGAAGAGATTGGTACAGTCCCAAGATCCTTTTTTAAAATTCATTTATTCTTATATTTTTTCTTTTAAATTTGTGTATATAACAAAAATTCTTGTGGCACCATAAAAATAAGGAAGCACTTTTGGTTCTTCGCAAGTCTTAACCTTCTGCCTGCTTGACATAGTCTGCTTGAGAGTTCCTTAGGTACAGCATCTCTCTTGGTGATGTGCACAGAGAAGTGTTGCAGCAGCAGGAGGAAGAGACTGACTGCTCAGCTTCACTGCAAGGATGGAGCCATCTGCTCACTGATGCCTGGCTAGGTCCCTGAGTTTCTCTCCAGCAAGCATCTTTTGCTGCCTTCTCCCCACATGCTGCCTGAACACTGATCAAATTACTGGATCTCGTTCCTCAAAGACTGTCTCTTCCTCTTTCATGTAGTTTTTTTAAACATATCTGTATAGGCAACAGTGATGAAGTACTGACTGGGGAAGTTTTGGAATTGTTCCTTTTTTCCATGGAGCATTTCTAGCATGCTAAGCAGAAGTGCCCTGTTTCAGACACACTGATAATATGAATTGCTGATGGAGTGATTGTTATTGATTTGAAAAGCAACATGCTGTATTTACCTTAGTTTCTATATGTTATGCATAATTTTTCTCCTCCTAGAAACAGTGTGCTGGAGATTGATTTACTGTGTAGCTTACATACACAGTTGACAAAAAAAAGCTGAATGGGCCTTACCTAAAAACTTCCCACCTACCAGAATGAGCAGGAAGTTTATTCCATCTGAAGTCATCTGTCAAAGGCTTGTTTGTATTCCTTATATGAATTAGAAAATTGTCATGTGCTTCATTTTTGACAAAATAAGTCAAGCCTAAATCAAGCTTTTCCCTTTCTTACCCATGATTTTGTATAAATTCTTCTTCCCAGTCTCTGCCTCTGCAACTTGGGTGGTGTGGGTGGAGCACTTAGCAGTGAAGGTCGAGGCAGGAGGCATGGAGTACCTCAGCCTTCTTCATGTTCTGGGTAACCAGAGTTCCTGTTTCCTTTTAGAGAGGGCCCACATTTTCCCTCATCTTCCTTTTATTACCCATATACCAGTAGAACCTTTTTTTTATTGCCCTTGACATCCCTGACCAGATTTATTTCTATTAGGGCTTGCTTTTGCTTTTCAAACCTAATCCCTGACTGCTTAGACAATTTCTTTGTATTCCTCCCAGGCTACCTGGCCTTGCTTCCACCTTCTGCAGACTTCTTTTTTGTTTGCTCCTTACTTATCCATTAAGGTCTCCTGGTATTTTTGCCTCACTTCCTCTTTGTTGGGTTGCATGACTCCTGATCTTGGAGGAAGTGAACTCTGAATTTTAACAAGCTTTCTTGAATGCCTTGTCCTTCCCTTTAATCCTGACCTGTAAGGTCTCAGTTAGGTCCTCATCCATCCCCAGGTGGAGCTCCATGCACTACAGCTGGTCATTGACAGAGTATGACACCCCCCTTCTCATCTCCTCTGTCCTTCCTCAGAGCCTGTGTATTTCCTGTATATTTCCTGTATATTTCCTGTATATTTCCTGTATATTTCCATTCCAGCACTCCAGTCACAGGAGCCATCCCACCATGTCTGTGTGAGGCCAGTGAGATCACTGACCTGCAGGAGTGCACATCTCTAACCTCATTTTTTATTTTGCATGCTGCATATACTTGCAGAGAGGCATTCAAGTAGGGCTAGAGTGGCTGGAATTCCTTTGTGCTGTTCTTCAGGTGCTCTCCTGCTGAATTATGAACTCTCTTCGGGTTCTACTGGTGGCCAACATCTCTTGCTGGCACTGGCATCAAACTGGTATGACTGGGATGCATTGGTGTGCCTCTCCATCAACATAATTTCAAATACTGATGCCTCTGGAAAGTCCTGAAGTGCTGCTGGTGTGCACCACATTTTACAGGCTTGGAAAATGAACAGAGAGTCTTTCTCAGCTGCATCTACGTTGAACATGGACAGTATATGTTCAAGTAAACTCACTTGAGTCTGTGCTAAGAGTATTTCAACCATTCTGCAGGCTTCTGGTTAGGAAGTGTTGTGTGTTTTCACCTGTCAGTTTGTAGCACTATGGAACACAGAAATTATTTTTGCATTTGAAATCAGCTTTCTGGAAGTGCATCAGCCCTTGTTCTACATGCAGGCTAAGACAGACAGCTAGAGAAGACAGGAAAAAGGCTGCCTGCTTTCCAGTAACCCAGGAAGAGCCCCAAGCCATTTGCTATTTCTCATTAGGGGTTGGTGATACACTCACCAGACACTGCAGACATTGTACCAGGACACTCAGTGGCGCTGGATCTCACCCTGGCTGTGTGAGCTCAGCACCACACCTACAGAGTGAGCTGTGGCAAGGATCAGTGAGCCTCTGGAAGCACACATTTCCAGGAAAACACGGCACTAGATTGCCAGCAGCTATCCAAAACAGAAACTGGTAATATCACAGTAATCACGGTGTGTTTGTGCACCTATATAACATGGTCCCAAACCAGTCTTGACCAGGGCTGGTTTTAGAATTAATTAAAAAAACCCCGAAAAAACCCCAAAAAACCCCAAAAAAAACAGTAACAACAAAAATCCCACCCCAGCACTATGTTTATAATTGCAATAGCAAAACATAGCTTTATATCTTAAGTAATGGTAACTATTTGGCATTCTGGTACAACATGCTTCAGTCAGCAGCAGTTGGGTCTAGGGAGGAACAAGGAAACTGGTTTAAAATTCCTTTCCTCAGAAACAGCAAGTGTGTTGTCTTGCATTGCTGAGCTGCGAGTTTGTTTAAAATCGGGCACGTCTGTGTTACAAAAGGGTTTTAGTCATTCTCTGACAGCTGATACGAAGCAAAGGCTGCTTGGTAAAGGAAAGCTTCTATTAAATATGTCTTCTGGTCTTTGTAATGATGACAGAAAGCTGTCAGTGTAAAATGGTGCTTTTAATGAAGCTGCTGATAGAAAAAAAGCTTTACAGTTTTGTGCTTTAAAAATAGTATTTCTAGAAAAACATAGTTGGGTGGCAGAAATTATTATGCTTCATGGATTGTAAATTGGGACTTTCTATTTTTACCTGGCATTAAATTGCAGAATTTCCTCTCTGTGTGAGATACTCCAGGCAATGATCACCTTCTCATTTCCCTTTGTTAAACATCCTGGACATAGTTTCACCTGATACCAGACTCTTCCATGTGTTTACAGCAGAAAGCAAGGTGAAAGAATTTAAAGCTGATTTATAAACTGCCACTGCTTAGTTTATATTGGCCCCACTCACTTTCTTCTGACCTTGAAAAATCTCATGTTTCTAAGATGTTTTCCTCCCTGCACTACAGGGGGCTGTGGCTACTTTCAAGGAGGGAGTACTCCCTCATTTGCTAGGATTTCTGCATGCAGTGATGAATTTGTGATGGATCTGAAGCAAGAAGTGCAATTGAGCTGTGGAGGCCATGAAGTCTATCCCTTGTACAAACAGGGAAGCACCAGTCATGCTGCCCATGCAACAACCATCCCACCTGGATCTTCTGCTGGATGTACTCTAAGTTAAGCAGCATTTCTGCAATTCTCACTTGCCCTTTGGCCGTAAGGCAGCCCTGAGCACTGGTTCCTAGAAGCAAAGCTCCTTCTCCAAGGCCAGCAGCACTGAGCACACCACAGTACCTGGTATCTGCCATCCACCCAAGTTCCTCTCACTCACCAGCTCCTACTTGCCCAGGCTGCAGGTATCCAAACCGGATACTGCCACTCCCTTGCTCTCAGCAATTAGGGTTTTGGCACCCACATCTGATAAAACCCAGTCAGCATATCAAGACAAACCTGGCTCCAGGTAACCCTCACCGAAGGGTGCAGTGAACTGCCTTTGGCTGGCTGCCAGCCCCCTCCCCAGCGCAGCAGGGGGCAGATCAGGGTTCATAAACCCCCATGTTCCACACCGCACTGCTGGCACAGCAAAGCTGTTTGGCTTCTGCTGGCTGTGCCGCCTGCCTTGCCAGGATGGACCTGTTAGCGAAAAGGAAACAACCTTCACAGCTTATCTTTCTCCTCACACGGTGTGGGTGTGAGTGACAGATTACTGCAATCTTCCTGCTCAGTTGCTTGTCTTAAGTAGCCAAAAGAGATACTCCTCACTCAGAAAAGAGATTCACTATTACTTTTCCCCTAAAGTTTGGATTTAATGCAAACATCTCTTTAATCTGTTCATTTCCAAATGCAACTAAGACAACTGTAGAGGGACTCCTATTGCTTAATAACAGCCTCTAAACTCACATGTGTATTGAAACATTGTGATTTCGGTATTGAAAGAAAGAAAATCATCAGAAGGAATTTACTAGTTTGAGTACCTGTTTATTTACCATACACAAGAATTTTAACCCTGCACTTTCAAAAAGTGGAAAAAACATGGCAACTTTACTCTTTCTGTGATAATGGAGAAATAACAGATGACAAAATAAAACAACCAGGCGTTTTATTTGCTGTTTTACTTACACTCATACACACACAAGAATCAAGTTAGAGGTTTTAAAAATACAATAAAAAATGTCAATAAAAATATTTCAACTTTTTGCCTGAAAAAGAATGTTCATTTCAATTTTCTGGCAGAAGATTAACATGACTTTAGTTATCTAATTCTTACCTGAAATTCTGCTTATGTTCAGAGGAAGAAACACATACAACCAGTATTCTCATTTGCCATTAACATGTAGATAAACATGGTTTTTGTTTTGGCAGAAAAACTTTATTCACAGATAGGAAATCTTTGCTCCATAACCGTTATCCTCCTCAATGAATGTACTATTTGCTGACAAGCTCATTTGCTACATGAGATTTATCATTTATGTTCTATTACAAATCTTTCAAAAGAAATAATACACTCAATTTGTCTTTCCCTAGT